GAGGAGTGTGGGTCACTGAATGAGGAAATGAAGCAGAGGTTTTTTTCAGCACAGGGTGAAAAATAATTGCAGTATAGTCTGGAGGCAGAGCAGATACTGCTGGAAATTGGACATGAATGGGGAAGCTCATTAGCCCAGCGGAGTGAGTTTTGTTCTGGACACCTCACAACCCCTTTCACTTCTTTCCTTCTCCAAGCTGGAGAACTTGGAGGTGGGAGGAATGGCGGAATGAAGACCAGCTTAACCTGAAAGCACACTTTCCTTTGGCTTTACCAAAACCTTGCACCTCCTCTAAGCCCCAGAGAGAAATGAGCCTTGATTTAAAAACCAAGACTACTGGAGACTCTCTCTGGGTATACCCTGGAGCCCTGAAGGGCTCTTCTGTAGGCACCTGGAGTGCTTTTGTAGAAGGACTCAGTCTCAAAAGATCAGACTTGTGGAACAGACTGGTTGTTTAAGAGAAGAATCGTAAACAGGCGCCAACCCGTGCGAAGATGCTGTCTGTGTGTGCTATTTGCGACAGAAGGGAGCAGGGAGGAATTGCGGTTCTCCACGGGGCCTGGGTTTGCTGCTGGAGCCCGAGACTCGGCAGAGAAGCCCACGAGAGCACAGCCAGACAGACCCTGGCTGGCTGCATTTATTCCTGTAGACTTTGTAATCTTGCAGATTATAATTTATTATTTTTATTGACCCAAATCAGAGGGAGAGGCAAGAAGAAGAGTCTGTACAAGGAGAAGGAAGGGAATGGGAAAGGAATGGAGGAGAGTGCGAGCCCTAGCCCACGTGTGGCGCGGTCCTGTGACTCTGGGCGGCTTCTGGCATCCCTGGCCCCCAATTACGATATGGCTCCTTCCCAGATCAAGTTACAAAGTAACACAGCCAAATAAGTATCCTTCTTGGGCTCGGATTGGGCCTTCTTTCACCCGACTCTCCCATCTCTTACTCTATTTCTTGCCGGGCTAGTATTTTAGCGAATAATAAAATGTCTTTCTATGCATGGGAAGGAAGTCCAGATCCTGGGTGTTTGGAAATTTGGAGACTGCCTGGTGCATCTAGAGTTCAGGGGGCAAAAAACAGACCCTCCTGTATGCCAGGGTAAACTGCCCTGTGTCAGATTGTTAGTCTGGGAAATCAAACATGAGTTTGGAAATTTACAGCGATTGTCAAGTGTTAAAGAAAAACAGAAACAAAAAAGAAAAATAAGTCTATTTAGAGAATGAAATCCTGGGGCATAGGACTTTAAAATTTGGAATTAAAAATAACAATTGTTTATAAATAAAATACAAAAATAAAAAACAAAATACAAAAATATGAACAATAGTAACTTAGGTAAGAGGAAACAGCAAGCTATATCTAAACATAGATAGATAGATAGATAGATAGACTCCAGATGAAAGCACAGCAGAAGACAACAGAAAGAATGAGCTTCAAAAAAGAATCTTTTCAATGATCCAATTTTAAACTGCAAAAGAAGAGAAAGAAAAGAGAGACAAGAAAGAAACAGGAGGAACCAGATATGCTTTTTAATCCTCCCCCCGCCCGACTCCCCTCCCCCCCCCCAGTTAATTTTGCTATCTGTTTGGATACAGATCCCACTAGGTATCATTCTCCCAGACCTGGATATGCAAGGCTCTTATGCCCTTTCCCCTCTCTCCAAGTCTCTGAGACAGACCCACTCTGATAATGTCCTTCCCTGGGTGGCTTTTATTTGAAATAGAGCCTGGCTAGTCTTGCCAGAGGGCTGAGAGTTTAATTCAGTTTTAATCATTCCCTTAATGTAGCACAACCTGGGAAAAGACATTTTCTCTTAAAGTGACAGGAGGCGCACGCTCCCTGTACATACGCTCGCCTCCACGTTTGCACGTGCGCAGGTGCACACACGCGCATCCGCGCACACAAGCCCATACAGACAAGTGCACACATAGACAAGTGCGCACGGTCGTACTCACGTGCACACAAGCACAGACATGTGCACACGCGCACACGTATTCCACCGAGCTTTACTTCTGCCAATTCGCGTCCTGTCCCGTTTCTTTTGCTCTCTCGACAAGGAAAGTGCAAGGCCCTGGCTTGGCCCTGGCACGCGCAAGCCACGCTTTTGAGAAAACGCCTTGTAGGGGCGTTGGCTTCGCCTTCACTCCGAAGGCCGAGAATCCTCCTGCCAGCCGACTCTGCCCTTCCTTCCCTCCCGCACCTGGGGGGGCGGGGGTTGGTGGTGAGGCGCCCCCCTCTCCTAGAGCAAAGGTCCTGGTGCTGTGAGGTCTGCGACTAGCTGCTTAGCGGGGTCGAGTACAGCTGGTCCTGTTAGGTCCGGAAGCCTGAGCCAGATGCAGCGCGAATCCGAGGCGGCAAGCGGCGATGCGGCTTTATAGCTATGGTTCCCAAAACCTAGTCTAGACCTGTACTAAAGGGACCAACGCTTCCTCCTGCCCTGGGCACCTACCGCACACCTGGATTATTTGTAAGGGTCACGTTCAATCTGACATCCTGGGTGTCTGCGAGGCTCAGCTTTCCAGCTTGTAGCCTATGTGGACACAAGTACTCCGGTGTCTGTGGGTTCCGGGGTCTGTGCCCCTTTCTGCTCTGGGTAAAGGTGAAAGAGGAGGGATAGAGGAGGCCTTTGAGTTGCATGATCCTGAGCGCGCCTTTGCAGGCTGTCTAGCCCCTTCTATATCAGTTTGAGCTGCAGAGCATGTATGGACAAGAACCCATCTACAAGGCAAGCTTCACGTCTGGAAAATGCGTTCGTCCCTGGCGGCCTCAGGTTTCTCAGGATGAGCCGCTCCTCGTCGGGCCCCTGGGCAGGTATAGGCCTGAGGGTCCTGGTGACTCCACCCATAGCCCTCACAGCCTTCTCCAAGGTCTCAAGGGCTGCCTGAAGGAGCTTCGCGTCACTGAGTCTGGGCCTGCCGCGAGGCGCTGGGACCTCGAAGGCTGCTGATGAGGGCTTCAGACGCCCGGCGCGCGGAGCTCCGGGAGCAGCCTCCAGCCACGTTTGCACACACCCCCCCACCCCCACCTCCTTCCACTCCCACTCCCAGCCCAAGCCCTCCAGGTGGCCTCCTCTGCTCTCCTAGGCCTGCTTCCCCTTCCGCTAGGCTTCAAAAACCGGGTTTGCGCTTACATTTTAAGGCTGTGTCACCCGCCTGGGGCGCCCTCCGGGGTCTGCACAACTCCAGACTGTTTGCAAAGCCTTCTTTTACAAATGCAAAACATCTCCTTCCAGTTGAATCTGTTTCTCAAGAGTTTAAAAAGAGCCCTCTTCCTCGAGGGTGTTACCCAGGCGTTTTTGACTCAGGCAGCTGGGGCCCCGCGGGAGGCGAGTTCGTGGATGCCCGGGGCACCGCCTGCTCAGGTTCCGGCTCTTCTAGTTACCTCTCAGGAACGGCGCGTTCCCCCCGAGCAACGGTAAAAGGAACTCTGGCGAAGCTACTGCCTATCACTCTACTGAAAGCTTAGAGGGAACTCAGAGGTAACAAGGAAGCCTGCAGTTGTGGGGGTTGAATTGAGCGCGAGAAAAAAACAACCCTTTGTCGTGTCTTTTATACCAAAGATTTAAGAGTAATATGTATCAAATTTTCTTCTGCACTAGATTTGCTCTATTTACACCAAAACCATTTTTTTGGGGGTTAATCCTGACCAAAAAAGTCGAGTTGAAACTATAAACTGTATGGATGCATGATTGGTGTTATTCAATTAAAACGCGTTTTTTTTTTTTTTTTTTAATTTTGCTGTAAAGAAACAAGTTGGCTCTTTAAAAGCCTGGGGAAAGAAGTGGCAAATTGTTTAAAGCAGGACAAATATGGAGCTAGGTTAAATCATAGAGATATTTTTTAAAAACCGCAATGGAAATTTTATTGTGTCTTAAAACATTTCACCTTGCGAAGTTTTTAGGAGATTTAAAAGCTAAATCTTAATCACTGAAGACATGCAGGATTAAAATCCCACGATTCAACGTTTTAAAATTATCATGCTTTGAAAGGAAAGGGAGGCTCTGAAAAGGGCGTACTTTTACAGACTAGTAAATATGGGGGACTGAGCGATAATGTAAAATTTTGCTCTCCTAAACATAAAGGATTTAAATATGCCTTGATTTCCCACACCCTCCCCAAGAAAAAGCGACTAAGTAAAACATAAGCATAAATAAATAAGCAAGTCTAACGCCATTCGTGGCAGAGTGGGCGCTACTAAATACAGGGATGTTTAAATGAGAAAAGACGGGCCTGGTGGCTGTGAATTGTCCCCACTCAAAAATGTTCGGAGTTGTAGCAATATTAAGTGATAAGGGAGTGGGACTGGAGTCTGAAGTTTCTTGGAAGATTCTTGATATTCTAACTTGGTGATACCTCGCTTTAAAGCCAGGAGCCTCACCCTTTCCTGGCCTGGGTGAGGAAAACTAGAGACTGGGATGTGGCAGCCAGAGAGACTGACCGGGTTCAGCGCCCGGGGCTGGCACTTCCAAGCCAGACGGCGGCGCTTTTCTCTCTCTCTCTTTTTCTGAGACCTTGTAAGGAAGTGGGCGTGGACTGCGCGCAGTCGGCGCCACCTGATTGGCTGGACTTCCCGGTGATTGACAGGGCCCCAGACTCCACCCCCGCCGCTTTATTGACACTAATGAGCAAGTTCTTCCCACCGCTCTCCTGCCTGTAAGTGCTGACAGATCAAGGCAACAAATTTCAATTACAATCCCTAATTTGTGTCCGCAGAGTGTTTTTTACCCATGTTAGTCCTCTCTGGCGCATCAGTCGAAGCAGATCTTGGAGCAGCAGGAGGAGGTGGAGGGGGTGGGAACGAAGGAGTGCATCAGTGAGAGAGCGCGCGCGAGAGACTGAGGGAAGGAAACTTGGCGGGCGCGTCGCTGGTTCCTCGGATCCCAACACAAGCGAGAAAGAGGAAACGCCAAATTTGTTTTTGCCCGCGGCAGGGAAGGGGCCAGATCGGCCTGCGGGAGGCCCTGAGAGTCGTTCAAATTTTGGTGGGGGAGTAGAGCGAGTGTGTGCGTGTGCCCGCTTGAGTGTATGTGCGTGAGGGGCGGGCGGGCGCCAGGCGGCGGGGATGGCCGAGAAGCGGAGGGGCTCGCCGTGCAGCATGCTAAGCCTTAAGGCGCACGCCTTCTCGGTGGAGGCGCTGATAGGCGCCGAGAAGCAGCAACAGCTTCAGAAGAAGCGACGAAAGCTGGGCGCGGAAGAGGCAGCCGGGGCCGTAGATGACGGAGGCTGCAGCCGCGGCGGTGGCGCCGGTGAAAAGGGCTCCTCCGAGGGAGACGAAGGCGCTGCACTCCCGCCACCGGCTGGGGCGGCATCTGGACCCGGCCGGAGCTGCGCAGACCTGGAACGGAGCTGCGGCTCCCGCGGAGCCGCGGGTGAGTTGGCCCTTTCCCGCCCAACTTCCCGGCGAGTCCCTCCGGGTCAGCGGGGAACCTGAACTGCGAGTTAAGGGCGCGCGCGCGCGCGCGGTGCCCCTCCGTGCCTGAGGCAATTCAGCAACCAGCGCTTTGGCCTTGGGTGTCGGGGCGCGAAGCTCGCAGCCGTCCTGGCCGCTCTCGCCGCTCAACTCAGGTCGCCCTCCAGACGGTTAAAATGCCTCTCCTAGCCCCGCTTCTCGGGCTGCCGCCGCCCACTTGGCCACCCGCGCCTTCGGCCGCAGCTCTTTGCGGCTCTCCGCGGTGCAGGTCTGTGCCTTCCGCATCTGCCTCCCTTGGGGTTCCAGCCAATGGGTGCTCTTTTTTCTTTCCTAACTTTTAAAAGCAAGGGGGTGGGGGGAGCGACGGCATAACCCCCCCGAAACCGGAACGAATGCCCTAAACAGTTTGGGCAAACCAGGAAGAGGGCGGTGTATTTGCAAACGTGGTTTCGCGAGGGGTAGCTGAGCCCTTCCCTTCCCCTCTGGATTCCCGCTGCCGAGGCCGTCGGCCACCGTGAGCTTGCTTTTCGCGCTCTTCTCGTCCCTTCGCTGCTTGGCTAAGGGAGCTCAGGACGGTCGGGGAGTTAGGCGGGAGCCGAGGCTGAAGAGCTTTCTTAGAGGATGCCTCCGCCTGGGCCCAAAGCGAGGGTCCTCGGACCCCTAACGCTAAAGGAGGCTCAGGCACTTCGGACCAGGGACACCGACGCCAGGCGGTTTTGCTGCGTGCGTTTTGGGTCGCGGGTGTGTCGGGGTCTGCAGTGGGGCTCTGGACTCGGGAACCTATCTCAGGCTCAGTTGGGCACGTATCCTAGACCCCAGCGGCGGCGCGAAACTGATTTGGGGCCTTGACCTGGCGGAGGCCGGGAGGGAGGGGTGGACGCGGCCCTCATGCCTCTGCGGGACTCCGTCCTTGGAGGCCTCGCTGGCAGGTCGAGTCCCTTTGGCGGGCAGAGCGGGTGTTAAAAGAATCCGAAGGCACGAAACTTCCCCCTTTTCTCCTGGTCTTTTTCGTCTCCCCAGCCGCCCTCCGGGGGTCAGTCTCCCCATCCGACTTCCTCTCTCAAGCCCTCACCGTTACCCCTCTTTGCCCTTTGCTGCCCAGGCGGCTGTGAGGACGGCTTCCTACAGGGCGCTTCCCCGCTGGCGTCCCCGGGAGGATCCCCGAAGGGGTCCCCGTCGCCCTCCCTGGCACGGCCGGGAACCCCGCTGCCCTCGCCGCAGGCCCCGCGGGTGGATCTGCAGGGAGCAGAGCTCTGGAAGCGCTTTCACGAGATCGGCACAGAGATGATCATCACCAAGGCGGGCAGGTAAAGGGCGATCTGTCGCCAACGCCCGGGCCCTGGCCTCACCCTACCCCTTGATGGGTTAGGAAGGAGAAGGGCCTGCAGAGCTGTGGAGTCTCTGGTTAGCATTTTTGTGCAGACAAGACAAGGCCCGGGTTGTGGTTCACTTTTGAGACTGGCTTTGCCTGCCTGTACTGGAGTGCAGTCGGTGAGGGACACAGCCCCGCCGCCCTCTTGGATGTTAGGGAAAAATCCCCGTCGCCGCCTACGCGGCTGCGGCAGCAGCTGCGGGTGATACTCTGTGTGCTGGGTAGTTAGAGATTCGTGGTTATGTATACATCTGTCGAGGCATGTTTTTAGGCTCTAGTTATCGTTTCTGGAACTACTGAACAGATGACTTCCCTTAACCCCCCTTTAAAAAAAAAAAACGCAGTTTACTCTTTAGAAAACTATGATTTGTTTTTTTTTTAGATTCCAGACTTCCAGGCTGGTTCTTTATCAAAAGATTTCCTAGCAATGTAAGAACGTGATGTCTTGTACTATTTTGATATTATACTAGAATGAAAAGTTACTGGAATCATCAGTAATACATGTATAATCCCTGAAAAAATAATTACCCGTTTTTTAAAAACCATTCTCTTTGTAGATCCAGTTACGTGGTTATATATCTATATCTATATCTATATATATATCTATATTTTTTTCTAAATGAAATCCAACACATTCATCTAAATTTGCTGAAGAATACTAAAAAAAATTGTAAGAAGTTAGATGTATTTTTTGAAAGTGTGAAATTTGCACATCCATTAGTTAGTAAAATAAATAGATTTGTTGGCCAGATACTGTTAATTTGAAGGAAGCACAGAAATATTTGCATTTTAAAGTTTTCAGTTCATTTAGTGCAATGAAATCTATGAATAATATCTTCCTTAAAAGGAACTTTAAAAAAGCACAGAAACTCTTTCAGGGAATACACATGGCAAAAACCTGGATAGCATAAAAGTATCCAAACTTATTAGAAATTACAAAACATATTTTATTGAATCCATATGCTACCTTCTACATTTTCACAGAGCTTTTATTAATGATCCAAATTCAGTCTTCAACAACACAAAGCAACAGTTGTCTTATAAAGGATGTAGTTAAAGACCTTTACTCTTTATCTTACAGGTGCACTGAAATAACACTAAAACAGCAGCATATTAAACTGTTCTCATGCCTAGTTAGGAATAATGGACTTTCTTTTCTCTGGAAGTGGTCTTTAATGGCATTATTGTTAAAGAAAAAATTTTTGGTAAATAACAGTACTAAAATTTGTGTTATAAGGTTAAATTAGCAAAAATTAGATTAACTGGAAGGGTCCTAGACATAAATCATTAGATGAAAGTTAAAAAAAAAAAAAAGAACTGCTCTATTTGTTTTTCATATACAATAATTTGCTGTTATATTCTTGCTACTGTGTCCTTTTTTTAAAAGATAGCCTAGTGTACTTCAGTATCTCCTTTGATATGCATCTCTGGGAAGCCTAAAGAAATGCAGATTTTCATTTGTTTTAATTAGTGAAGTTTTGAGTAAGTGTGGTTAAATAAGAGTATTTCCAGGGTATAGTGGGGGAAGGAATGATTTGGTAAATATACATTGTGTTTAGTTTCTGCTTTCAATAAAGAAGTTTTACTATACCTTTCAAATTTAGAGCAACTTTTGCACTTCACCTTTACCATGCTGCAGACAGGAAGTCCTGTCTCAATAAAGAACATATTGTTTGGTTATAGCATGGCACATTGGCTCCTTGTGGTTTTTTATAACCCTTTTAAAATTTCACATTATAATATATTTTATCACTTGTACAAATTCAAATTTTCTATTTCTACCTTCGGAACATTTTTGTCGTTTGCATTATTAAAGTAAATATGCTCATTGATTTTTATTTAAAAAATAAACTGCTTTTTTTAGTGCTTTTACTCCTTCAGTGTACAATTCTTTTCCTTTTAGCTGTAGTGACATTTCAGTAAACAACAGTGCACGACAGGGTACAACAAATTATATTTAAAAGCCTCAGTTTTGCTACGTCCTGTATTCTGATTCTTTGAATTAATGTTATCAAAGTGAACGCTATAAATTTGTCCATATGAAAAACAGAGAGGTTTCTTCGCTTATTCGTTCTCCATGCTTAATTACAAACAAAAACAAAACCCATACCCTGTTTCCTCCCCTCCATATGCATAGGCGCATGTTTCCAGCAATGAGAGTGAAGATCTCAGGACTAGATCCTCACCAGCAGTATTACATTGCCATGGATATTGTGCCAGTGGACAACAAAAGATACAGGTACGGTGATCAGATGGATACAGCAGGATAAGAATACACTAGGATTTTACAGGCTGTGCCTGTTTCATCTGTGATGACTGTGATGTTTGTTTCCAGAAGCCTGTAGAATTTCTAGATCTATAACCCAACTCTCCGACAGTTCCAGGAGACCAGGCGGTGCCTTCTCTTGCAGTAAATGTGGAAACTTAATTTTTGTTTTGCTTTTAACAGATACAGAAATGTCCTTTAAGTATTGAGAACTTAAAATAGGGGCTAGTTTAGGGTTGCTAAACTGTGTCTTTTATAATGATTCACTTTTCAATTAGAATTTGAGAGGAAATGTGAAGTTTGTAGGTATAGGTAATATTCAACGAAATGTTTCATTTCCTTTGTGATTATTTTGAGCTTTACATAAATTCCCTTTTTCTTGTACTCAAAATCCTAACTGTTGGCAGGCTTTTTCCCTTTAATTTTAGGAAATTATTGAATTTAGAATAAAATCTCATAATTCATTAGGATATTAGGACATCTTTAAACTGGTAATGAATTTGTTAATTTACTGTTGTTTTTGGTTAGTAGTTAACACAGTAGATTAAAAAAATATTTTAAGATTTAGATTTTGAAAGAGGGTGTGATACCTGGATATCAAGTAAGGTTGGAAAAGATACACATTATTCAGTTTCAAACCAACCTTTGCTCTTTTTCTTTGGCAAATCAGCAGTTTTCAGTGGACAATGCTTTCTCCTTTCCTGAGGAGTTAAAAATGCTAACATTTGAAAAAGGAAATTTTGAGTAGAAGACCAGAAGATGCTTGCTTTAAAATTTTGGTCTTGTTTCTATTTTTTTTTTACTTTTTGTAAACAGCTAGAGCATTTAGAAAGTTTTTAAATGAAGTCAGATTTGGTTTTTATCGCTTTTTAAAACTTAGGGAAGTACTTTTTTGAAACAGGCTTACCAGTGTCAGGATTCAGATTTAATTAGTACAGGCACGTACGATTACTAAAAAAATGGGTAATAAAAAAGACAGTTTTATTGTTTTGTTTTGTATTATATTGCTTATTTTAATTAAATAACTCATTAGAGAGTTTGCTAAAATTATCTACTACATGGTAGAAACTAGAAGGCACTGTTTATTCTTTAAATATACTTGGTTAAAAATCCATATTCTAATTTGGGTTTTGTGCTGAGAAATATAGTGTAATTCTTAATGGGCTTAGAAATTATTCCTTTTTCTTCCAAATTTCTCTCCTATTTCTCCAAATATCTTTCATGTATTTTGGGTGGTTTATTTTACTTAGTTGATTCTTATTCTCACATAAAGCAAGAAAAATTTCAAGTATTGATATTAAGATGTCAAATTTTAAAAGATCAAACTGTTAATCATAAATTTGTTTTTCACTTATAATGCTTCCCAAGAAATTTGGTTTTAGTAATTGTATTTAGAATGTTTCACAGAGAATATGTAACATGTAACATTTATTATCTTGGTGGGTGTGGATTTTTGAACTATTGGATATGCGTACTTTTTCTAGGTTTTGATAGAGCATATTACTGTTTATTTTGGGAGTAACTATAGTGCAGTTTTTTTCTTGCATTTCTAAGATTTGCATTTTATTTTCTAACTTTTAGCAGTAGTAGAAAAAGTTTTTGGCTTATTCTCTGCTGTCAAAGAGTGGTTATTTGGTCAAATTCAAAATGCTTGTGATTTATTGTGATGCAAATTTAATATTCACAGAAGCCCATGTACTTAGGAACTTATTTACTGAAATTACGCTATACCAATTCAGGGAAGTTTTTAAAAAATTATTCTTAATTTCGTGATTATGTATTTTTTCCCCAAGGAAAGGAATTAAAGAATAGAAGGCATACTGAGCTCAAAAGAGAATGAAATATGTGACATTAGTTGAAACAGAGGGCCTCACCAGATTTGTTATGAAAATGTTTCATGCTATTTTTAAAAGAAATTTGCATACTCCACAGGTAGAATTCTCTGAGACTATCCACAAATTATTGCTTTAAATTGTATGTCATATTTTAAGATACTAACGGAAGGAAAACACCTAACTATATAATTTCATTTTATACCCTTTTCTAAGTGAATCATGATATACTAGTTTCTAGTTTTTGAATTAGTGAATTTTAAATTAACAATTAATAAATGATAACCTGAATATAGGATGAAATATTATGATCTTATTACCTGAAACATTGTTATTTAAATGTATCATTCTTATAGAGTCAGTATATCTGACATATATAAACAAACAGAAGAGGACGTTTGGTCCCTTAATTAGAAAAATAATATTAATTAGATATATGCTCATTTTCAAAATTTGATGTATATTTTCATTAGTGGTGTTTGCAAACTAAAGAATTTTCTTATAAAGTTTGGAAAAGAAAAATTTAGGAGATAAAGACTTACATTTTTTTATTATACAAAAATTTTAAGTTAAACTTAATACATTATCTGTAATTTTTAGTTTAATAGAATTAGAAAAATATTCTAAATGATCATAGCTAAAACTCTTTTTCTAAGAAAATAAAAGTTATGGAACTTTTGACAATTTCCCCTTGCCTTTCTACCATCTACGTAATCCGTCTCTACATTGCCTAAAATGGGAAGTAGTCTTAAAGGAAGTGGGATACTTTAAGTTATAACTCTCAAGTATTTTTGAGATTTACTTAAAGGTGAGCTTGACAACTTTAAGCTTGACAACAATAGTTTCTTCATGTCAATTGAATATCCAGATGTAAAATGGAAAATATCAGAATACAGATGGAATGTCTAATGTGAATAAGTGTGATTCATAAGAATTAAGATACTTGAATTTAGGGGGGTGATAATGTGCATAAATCCTTAACACATCACTTACTCTGAGAGGTCAATAGTCCACTGCTGCCTCAGAGTTTTTGAAAAGTGCTTGAAATCTTATTTTATATGTATTGGATGTAAAGAGTAAATTGTTGTTTTTTAGACTTAATGAAAGATACGCAGTTTGTGTGATTCGACGGACTTGGAAATTCCAAGAAAACAATAGTCTGTATACTGAGCCTTGTCATTGCCTTCTAGGTATGTTTACCACAGCTCTAAATGGATGGTGGCGGGTAATGCTGACTCCCCTGTGCCCCCACGGGTGTACATCCATCCAGACTCGCCTGCCTCAGGAGAGACTTGGATGAGACAAGTGATCAGCTTTGACAAGCTGAAGCTCACCAACAATGAACTGGATGACCAAGGCCATGTGAGTAGATGGCTTCCCTAATGGGCCACCATGGGGTGGTGTAGCCACATCTATACTGTGTCTGACTGAAGGGCATGAATTTCTCTCCGAAGTTGATCAGCATGTGTCTAATCTGTGCAAAATCAAGGTTATATTTGCATCAGAGACTATGCCTGTTGCCTGAAGCGTATCCTATGAAATATTTAATAGGTTAAAACTAGGTATTGCATTTGTATTGAAATGATAGACTCTCAGGCAGCCATTTTAGCCAAAACATTTGTTTGAAACACTATGAGGTGCTAATTATTATGCTCTGAATGTGAATACTAGGGAGTTGGGTTAACAGGGATAATGGTTTATTGTGTCCTGCCTGTATTCAGCTCTTTTCCCAGTTGAAGCTTATTGTTTCTCAGTAATGGTTCAGGCTTACAGGAGTTGTGTATTCCATCTGCAAGTTCCCAGTTGTTTTGTAATGGCATTTAATGTGTCAAAATATGTTACAACAACAATTCCTTTTAGTCTTAAAACTGCTGAAACATGATGCGTAAGTCAAAGTCAGTCATTCCAATAATATAGTGATTTTTAACACCTTATTGTTACGCAGTATTGTTCCTAGGCCAGATTTCTACGTTATTATTTTAATAAATAAGTAACTCTGGATACATGCTGATTTCCATCATAAGCTAGCATTTCTATTAGGTTTTTGTTATTTGAGAAGGTTTTGATTGAGGGAGGATTGAAATGCCTTTTGAAGAGTACATCATACATGCCAACTAGTTCATTTCTCAAAGGGTGACATAAAGAGTATATTTATGAGCAAATTTTTTTTTTTTAAGATCTTTTATTTATTTATTTGACAGAGAGAGAGAGAGTGCGAGAGAGGGAACACAAGCAGGGGAAGTGGGAGAGGGAGAAGCAGGCTTCCCGCAGAGCAGGGAGCCCTATGTGGGGCTCCATCCCAGGACCTTGGCATCAGGACCTGAGCCAAAGGCAGATGCTTAAGAACTGAGCCATCCAGGCACCCCTATAAGCAAATCTTTTAAAACAAAAATGCAAACTGTCATAAACTAGTATTACAGTTATGATGGGAAATGATTTGCAAGTTGCTAGGCAGTATCTTAAGCAATTGACCTTAATAAAAACATTCAAGTATAAATTTTATTGTGGTACATATTTAGTATCTAGATTTTTAAGATATATCTATCTTACATTGCTTTTGTTTGTTGCCTTTTATGATTTAAAACAAAATCAAATAAGTATCATAGTATATTTCATTTCTGAATCCAACTTCATGCCCTGTATTTTAGTGCATTACTTCATTTCTGTTCTTTTTAGTCTTTGTGTACACAGTCAAGTAGTTACAGTTATTTTTCATTTGACTTCAGGGAAGGAACACTAGTTTCTACTATCTCATTGAGGGCACTGGCTGAAATTTTGCCAGCATGTTCATCGAGGGGTCTTTTGTTTTTGGAGTAGAAAATTTAAAAATAATGCCATTAAGCGTGACTTGTTTTCAAAAGCTTAAATATCCTCTACTTTTCTGAGTTCTACAGTTTGAGAACATATCTTTTAAAGAGATAACTGGGTCTAAAAAATATATACTATCATATATAAGGTACACTTCTTTAAATAATTTAAATCTGGGTGCCTGGGTGGCTCAGTCGGTTGAGCATCTATCTGCCTTCGGCTCAGGTCACGATCTCAGGGTTCTGGGATCGAGCCCCAGGTCAGGCTCCCTGCTCAGCGGGGAGTCTGCTTCTCCGTCTCCCTCTGCTTATGCTCTCTCTCTGTCAAATAAATAAATAAAATCTTTAAAAAAATTAAATACATACAGAAATAAATAATTTAAATCAATGTGGTCACTTTCTAAATCTAATTCTTTCAGATGAAATTATTGGCTTTATATATAATACTCAATATATCTGTAATATTTGTATAGATAATTTGTTTCTATAATTTTAACTTTGTAATTTCACTAGACTTTATGTAAAACAGTATTTTCTAGAGGAACAGAACCAGTAGAATGTGTATAAATATATACATAGAGGTTTATTTAAGGAATTGGCTCACATGATTGTGGGGGCTAGTAGGTCCCAGATCTACAGAGCAGGCCAGCAGACTGGGGACCCAGGGAAGAGTTGATGTTGCATCTCAAGCTTGAAGGTGCTCTCAAAGAAGAATTCCTTCTTCCTCAGGGGATCTCAGTCTGTTTTTCTTAAGGCCTTCAAGTGATTGGATAAAGCCCACCCACATTATGGAGAGTACTTTCCTTTATTCAGAGTCTACTGATTTAAATGTTAACCTCATCTAGGAACACCTAGGTGACTCAATTGCTTCAGCGTCTGACTCTTGATTTTGGCTCAGGTCCTGATCTCAGGGTTGTGAGATTGAGCCCTGCATTGGGCTCTGCACTCAGTGCAGAATCTGCTTGAGGTTCTGTCTCTCCCTCTCCCCGCCCCGACCTGCTTACAAGCTCACTCTCTCTCTGTCTCTCTGAAATAAATGAATAAATAATATAAAAAATAAATGTTAACCTCATCTAAAAAATACCTTCATAGCAACACCCAGACTGATGTTTGCCCTAATACCTGGATAACATGGCCTAGCCAAGTTAACACATAAAATTAATGAGCACACAGAATTTATTTAAACACAAAAGAATACATTGCAAATTGAAATTCAGTTGTTTATGCCTAAGTAATCATAATATTTCACTTTTAGAAAAAATGGAAAACATGACAGAAAACAGGCAAAACCTAGAGAAATGTGTCATCTATCAGTTAAATTTTTCTTTTAAGGTTGTGGCACAGGATGTAATACTTTAATACAGGGAGGTAATTAATGAGTGTGGAAACAAAGAGAAAGATATATACCTGTCCATTTTGGAAGCAAGAAAATTGCTTGGTAAAAATGTATGAATCAGTTGCTACTAGAGGAGAATATAGGAGAAAAAAATGCTCTTTTCCATTATTTATTTAAAAAATATATTTTTTAAGACTTTGTAAAATGTAGTGTAACATAAAAGCCATAGTCTCTGCCTTCAGTGATCTAGCCTAGATGGGGAGAGAAGACGTGCACACAGATAATCATGCTGTTGGCTCAGAGAAGTACAGACACCACATAATTCCAGCCAGGAGAGATTGGGAAGGTTTCATGAGGAACATGTCTATTGTATTTATTGACTCAGTTTGATGACCTCAAATGAGGTTAGTTCGAGATTAGGAATTCTTTTCTTAGTCCGTTGTTGATGTGATTCAGCATCTAGGAAGACAGTAGTAGTACCATTATGGTGGGACTTTCTAATTCAGTTTCATCATTTCTTGATACAGAGACCTCTCAGGGACTCACCCCTCTACCATCATGTGGTTGAGGTTCACCTGCCCCCAAAATCTAAAGGAAGTGACACTAATTTCTAATTAATCAAGCTGTAGACTTAAATGAGAGGTGATTTTCTAATTTACTTTCTAACTTGCTTTCTTATTTTTTTTGGCCTCTCAGTTCCAATTTTACTCTGTGAAAGGTACATAAGCATTCAACGTAGTACCCTGAGAACTGCATGTATGACTTGGGACTTTTATTAAACATGGTGTGTTTAATATAGGAATCATATCCTCACAGGGCTGTGGCTGGACCTAGACCTGTATGAGACATGAAATTATATGCCATTGGGTTTTCCTCAATGTGACTTCATCTTCCCAAATACAGGGATTGTTTAGAGAGAAATATTGGTGAGAATCTAGAGTAGAATGTCCTACTACTCCACAACTAATCTTTGAATGTTGTAAAGACTTTATAATCTCTACTTACTCCTTTGGGAATCTGTAGTCAGCTTCATGTTAGATTGTATACAATCCAAGACTGGTCCTTGGGCTACCAATGTGCAAATGGTTAGCATGCTTGGGTAAGATATTTCCTTCTCATCCTGTGCATGTTTCCCTACTCATCTGGAATTTGTTATCTGGAGGGAAACATTTAGATGAGCATTTCCCTAAAAAATTAGAGGGGCACCTGGGTGGCTCAGTTGGTTAAGTGGCCAGCTCTTCATTTTGGCTCAGGTCATGATTTCAGGGTTGTGAGATCAAGCCTCACCTTGGGGGGGTCTACGCTCAGCAGGGAGTCTTCTTGGGATTCTGTCTCCCTCTCGCTCCCATTCTCTCTTTCTCTCAAATAAATAAATCTTTAAAAAACTAGAAGACATTTAACAGGTAATGGTGCCTTTAAACCTTGGCAGGACTCATACCCACAGTGCTGGGGTGCTTTGGAAGGAAGCATGGCCAGTCTGCCAGAGTCAGGGGACCTGTGGAGAATCTCTTTCTCAGCTGCTGAGGAGTCAGTGACATAGAGTCACCCTAGCTCTAAGTTTGTCCTCACCCTCTTCACATTTCTGCTTGAGAATCAGGTGGGGAGGCAAGGTGTTACAGGGGAGACTGCCAAGGTCTCCCTGATAGAAGGAACTTGCAACAGCTTGGAGATCCAACATGTTCATGTTCATGAGCATGTCACTTTGGCTCTCTGAGGCTTGGTTTTCTCATGTGTTACGTTAGAACCAGAGAATTTTGAGTGAATCAGATGAGCTGATGAACTTGAAAGTACATGTGTATAAGGAGTGTTTCATAGACAGTGTGTGTGAAACAAAACCAAGGCCATCTTGCTATGGAGCTTGTGATCTGGTGTTACTGTCTTGACCCCTACCATTTATAGTGAGTCAGTACCAGGTGTCATCAGTAATGCAGGGAGCCAAGGATCTGCTCCTCCTTGGCCCTTTGCTTGACTTGTTCCAGCACTGGCATTTAGGTCATCTAGAAAATCTCCAGAGTGAGCAGGTAATGTTTCCTTATTGAGCTGTTCTGTAAGGCACAGCTGGCTTTTCTGTCAACTTCAGGCACTGTAGGCCCTTCACATTAAACATAAATAATATCATGCTTCTTTTGACTCAAAACTAGTGTCTTTAGAGTGGAAAAAACGAGGATTAACCTGCACATGGGACAGCATTCTGTGTTTATGAACGTTAGTCCATGTGACTATCTGTGTTACCAGGTAATGCCGAAAAGAAAAAAAAAATCCTCCTTTTAAACAGAACAGAGAGCATGGAACATGCAGATCAGATATAATTATTTGAGTTTCAGCATTATCATTGTGGTCTCCTTGCTTATAAGGCCAGTAGTTCTCCTGGTTCTACTTGTTTTATTAAATAAGCAAAATGTTATTGAGCACTCATCATTATAAAGTTTGATAGATCATTAAAAAGCAAATAATGCCATTTTATACAGAAGAACTAAGGCTTATTTAGCATTCCCTGAAAACATCTGGGGATATACTAAATTCCTATAGATAATATTGAAAGCATGTTATTTTGCTGGAAAGATCCCCAGATTACTATTGGCAGTTGCCCTTTAATGTGCAGACATAGGCATACATCAGCTATTTTTATACCCTACCCCAAAATACCCCACCTTATGTCATTTTGGAAATTCTGTAAAGATAGGAAGAAATAAATAAAATTTAAATATATATAGCTATATGGAGGAATCTGCTTGAGAGAACAAAGGCTTCCTAAAACAAGAACCTATATTCATTGACTAGTAAACGGAAACCCAAATCAGTTTTTGTTTCCTTCAATCCAAGTCAGTTTATTCCAGTTTTCTGAAATTAGCTATGTACTTATTTTTGTTTGTTTGATGTAAAGTAGCTTTCTCCAATTTCTCTTCTACCCTGGAATTTGCTGATCACTAGAATCATTAGAATAAATCTTACACCTATGTTTTTCAGACTTTTTACCTGACTCACATAACTAGATGTACGTGTTACGTTGTGAACTGGTGTAAACACACGCAAAGAAAACAGACAATGTTTTGCAAAATAGTACTTATCCTTACTATAAGGATACACTCTATGTTTCTACTTTATAATTTTATTTATTTAAAAAATTTCCGGTTGCAACTGTTTAAATTGATTTCTGTGAGCCACTAATGGGTTACTGAAGTTCTGTCCTTTTTTTAGACCTGGAAAGAGACTTTTCCAGAGGTTACAGATTCATGTGTGTATCTGCAGGTGACTATGAGGGCTATTGTATTCTCTTATCCTTTCCTTATACTTGTGTTTTACCCTCCCTGGTCCCCCCCATCAAGCAGGTCTTGTGGGCAGTGTCATTAGATCTGCCATCCAGGATCTCTTCCACTGACAGAAAATTTTAGGGTAAAAAAACAAAACAAAACTGACCACCATGCTGGTTACTGCCAGGGGGCAAAGACATCCTCTGGTGGCCGCAAACATGCTTTCCAGGTATAGGGCTCTTTGTTTTGGGGCTGATGAAATATTCTGAATTTGGCTTTGTTAAACTGCCCGTATCCACTGCCCGTATCCTGAAAAACACGAGGCAGGTCAACCACTGTGTTTTTCCAAGACTTTGTTTAAGGATTTCTCCTCTCAACTCTCAACTCCCTAAACCTGAATTCAAATCGTGTAACTCCGGGAAGATATAGCTCTCTTAACTAAACTCATTAACGAATACCTGAACGTGGCCTCCCAGCAGCAAATAGAAAAATTCACTGGGTAAGGCTATTTTTTTGTTATTCCATCTCCTATACCTTGAAAGCATAAAACATAAAGAAAAAGAAAAAAATTCACCCACAATCCCATTATCCAGGGATGATAACTGTTCCTCTTTCTGTGGGTCCTTTTTACTGTCTTTATGTTATTGTGATTAGTTTATAAACAGCTTGGATCATTTAAGGTTTAAAAAGAAGCATTTTATTTTGTGGTTAAAAATGTCCTAAACAGCGCTTAGTAATGGCTGAATAACATCTATCCCATTGTATGGACTTTCATTTACTTAACCAGTCTACTCATGTAAGTGGTTTATAGTTTCTCTGCTGTTATATAATGGTGTGCTGACCATCTCTATACATAAAGTGTTTTTTTGGGATTTGAAATATTTTCTTGGGTAAATTCTCAGAAGTGGAATCATGAGGTAGAAAGTAGTTGAACCATATTATCAGATTTCCCTAGAAGAGTCTGAGTGCACCAGCTTTTCTATCCCCAGGTGCCTGGGTTTTGGAAGTTTCGCTCTGATGGAGACATGGACACTGGGTTCTCCAGGCAAACCAAGGATGTTGTAAGCCACACACAAGGCAGACTCTTGGGTATCCTTAGAATTCCTTTTGCCCTTGAATAGACATGTTGCTGTCACCAATGGAGGAAAAGTGTTCTCTGAAGAAAACCTTGGTGTGCAAATACTTATTTTTAGGGGATGGGTGTGGTGGAATTTAAATTATCATTTCAATCTCATTTTTAGTTTTACTGGTTTGGACTCTTATGTTCCATTTGGCTCATTATAAATAAAATACTGATGAATTTATTCTTGTATTTTCAGAAACAGAAAATTAGATGTTAAATTCATGGTTGTACACCACATTCCACCAAAATAATGATTTTTTTCCTTTTGTATTTTTATGCATATTTTACAAATAACTTCTTAGCCCTCCCTTGCCAATTTTGACATACTTTATTAAATTGGCACTTCTGCATCCTTGGACATTTTCATTTCCAACTGGGATTTATTTTACACATTAAATATTTAGTCATGGTGTTGAGATTGGGCAGAAGTTGTTGATATATTTGGCTTTCTTTCCTTGACACAGATTATTCTTCATTCTATGCACAAATACCAACCGCGGGTCCATGTCATCCGTAAAGACTGCGGGGATGATCTTTCTCCCATCAAGCCTGTTCCATCTGGGGAGGGAGTAAAGGCATTCTCCTTTCCAGAAACTGTCTTCACGACTGTCACTGCCTATCAGAACCAACAGGTATTGTTCTCAGAATTGCTATCTTTCTAGACTTTTTGTTTCAGGTGTCAATAGAAAGCTATCCTTTTCACTGTATCTAAATGTTATGAAGTGTCATAAAGCATTTGCCATATAAGACATCTAGGATATGTGTGTGTGTGTGTGTGTGTGTGTGTATAAACATTTTTTTATCCATGATTCCCCAAGTAAGGCTACTTCTAGTGAGAATTTCTTTAGAAAAGAATGTGTCTCATGACTAACAGTGTAGGTTTGCTTTCCATTTTGAGATGTCGAATCATGATGTCATAATTAAAATAAAAAATCATGTGGGGGCTCCAGGGTTGTTTAGTTGGTTGACTGTTTGACTCTTTTTTTTTTTTTTAAGTTTTATTTATTTATTTGACAGAGCACAAGGAAGCAGAGCAGTAGATAGAGGGAGAGGGAGAAGCAGGCTCCCCACGGAGCAGGGAGCCGGATGCGGGGCTCTATCCCAGGACCCTGGGATCATGACCTGACCCAAAGGCAGAGGCTTAACCAACTGAGCCACCCAGGCGCCCCTGAGTGTCTGACTCTTGATTTTGGCTCAGGTCATGATCTCAGGGTCCTGAGACTGAGCCCTGAGTCAGGCTCTGCACTGCACGTGGAGCTTGCTTAAGATTCTCTCTCTCTCTCCCTCTGCCCCTCCCCTCCACTTACTCTATCTCTCTTTCTCTACCAAAAAAAAAAAAAAAAAGGCATGTATATTGCCTAGGAAATAGACATGTAGAATATGACACCTGGATTGTATCATAGAGCATGGGATTTGATAATTCACATATTTTAAAACTATAATCCATGTATTATAGGAAATATTTCAGAAGCATTTATCTTACGTAGTGATTTGGCATATATACAAAAAGGGCTGTTTCTTTTAAGATATGCTTTAATTGTGACAGAGGGTGATACATATGCTTATAGCTTGAGAGATCAGCAGTTGTGGAGCAGTCTTTTCATAAAATTAGTAATAATTTCAAAAGTGAAATATTTCTCTTCAATATAGGTAAGCGTATGTATTTCTTTAAGGCTGTGTCAAGTAGGTGGAAAATTGATTCAAGGCGATTATTTAGTCCATGCAATTATGGCCAGTTTTCATAAAAAATAGTGATGTAGTTGAGGCTGATGTGGTCTGTGGTAGACTTTTTTTTTTTTTTTTTTTTAATTTTAGTGGTCAGGAGAATTATTTTAGGTCTCCACTTCTCTTTACACTTATTTACATCTCGGTTAAATTTTAAGGCTTCATGATCTCCCAGTTGTGGTTTTTGTTGTTAAAACTTATGAGGAGATTTGAATCCCGTCCCCTGCATCTTCCTTCGGGGCTGGGAGGTGCATCTGCTCTCATCCATGTGGAGCCATCAGTCCCACGGCTGAAGCCTTCCTGTCCTCTCACTCACATTGTCATGCTTTTGTATAGAAGTTAACCTTTAGAAGGACTGGAGATAATTAGGAAAATATTCTTAAAATACATTAGATGCAGAAAATGATTTTTTTTTTTTTTTAGGAAAAGTATAACGCATGAGGAGAAAAGAGCAGAGACGTTTAGTACCTTTTAAGCAACCCCAGTTTATCTGTCTCTCCTTTTGTCTCAAACACCAGCAGATTAATAATGTCAAATGTGTATTTTTCTCCCAGCCTCTGTGATACAATAAACAAGATGCAGTGGGCTTTTGGTACATGTTGCTGACTAATAGCAATTGACAAACTTTGACAAATCGATAATAGGGTAAAAAAATTAGAAGAAGGGAAACTGATAATGACCAAATACAATGATGTTCATTTTTTAACTTCCTGGCTCCTATTTTAAGAACTCAGGGAAAATTGGTGGTTAACAGCATGGGGTTCTGAAGCCCAGGGTTCCAGCCTAGTTCTACAGACAAGTAACCTTATGATCATAGGAAACTTAAGCCTCAGTTTAAAAGAAAACATAAGATTGGATAATAACTACATATAAGTTGCCGTGAGAATTAAATGAAATATGCATATAAAATTCTTAGTACAGCATACATAGTATGCCCTCAGTAATAAAAATAATGGCAATAGTAACATATCTCTATTCAGACAAGACACCATTATATAAATCTACTCTTTTTTGAAATAGTATTTTATTTAAATTATTTAATGTTATTTAAATATTATTTAAATGAACAAAGAATTAAGCTATAATGAACTATAAAGAATTCCTTCAGGACAGTATATAGGGGGATTGCAGATGAGTTTTCAGAGATGCCTTTCCTTTGCCTTCGTGTTATCCAACAGTGTTCATTTGTCCTTAGCTAAAATGGCACCATCAGAAGTATGTTCATTAACTTTGTAGATTCCAGTAAACCAAAGAGCATAGAAAACAAAGCATGATGTGCTTCTTAGAAAATAGGCTGTAACTTCCTTTGGGCAAGGAGCAGATCTATTAAGAAATAGGTGAGATGTTATTAGTGTCAATTACAAGATGGTGAAGCTAAAAAAAATTTTTTAATGGAGATGATTACACCATTTGTAAAAATCCTACTCCCAAATCTCTGTTAAAATTAAAACATTTATTTCTACTACATGAATAAGATTTAATCTCATTAGAGCCTTTCGGTAGTGGTTAGCTCTGATTAGACATTCACTGAAGGGCTCTGACCAGGTCAGGACTCAACAGAAAACAGAGGAAAGAATAAAATTATCAGATGAGAGCTATAAAGATGATTCAAAGAGAGACAAAGAAAAATACAGAGACAGAGAATTTAAAGAAGCAGATAGTACCTAATTCTGAAGAAGAGAGGGATGCATAGGAGCTTGATGGCATTTAAGTGTTGTAAGTAACTTGACTAAATAGAAGGTGGATATTAGCTGTTACCCATTACCAAGAGGAACAGGATTAAGCCATGTCACAGAGTTAATTGTCAAACAAAGGACTGGTTATCAACAGATGATTCAGAATTTCCTTCTCTAGTGAAAAAGCAAAAGATTTTATTTACTGAGTTTGAAAAGGGGTGGGGAATGTCTTTTTCATAGCAGATGAATGTCTAGGTGATTTCTGAAATTTTCTTCTAGCTTTGCAGCTAAGGCAATAAAATACCTGAGAAATAGGGGAGAGGAACACAGTCAATTTTGTAATTACTTGTAGTTCTTCCACCATTTCTCTTTTTAATGACCTTACATGACATTTATAATATTTGATATGATTTTTTTGTACTCTGTAGATTACTCGCCTGAAGATAGATAGGAATCCATTTGCCAAAGGCTTCCGAGACTCTGGGCGTAACAGGTAAGACTTAGTGAAGAACATTCTGTCTCTGACAAATATATCTGGCTTTTCGTTGTGATTTTCCATGACAAGGTAAACAGTTAAATTTACCGACATGCTTTTGAAATAATTTTCTGATGAGGATTAAAATTTGTCGGTACTGCTGGGCCTTGGATGTAACTTATTTTTGGGTGTAGTGCTATGGCCTGCCCATTCCTAAGGGGGATTTTGATGTGGGATGCTGGCTGAAAAATGCAAGTTCTCAAGGTGCACAGTGCATGCCACCTCTGAAGGGACCTTGAGGAAACCTGTCTTTCCGACTCAGGGGCTTCAGTATCTCAAATCAGTAGCCTACCCTTTAGGCCCCAGGGCTTCAATATTTCAAGTCAATAGCCTCTCTGCATCTGCTGTTTTATAATTTGCTTGGTGATGTCCCAACAATCTATTGATTCTGTCTTTGGAATATGATGGGGTTCCGTTCCCTCAGATTTCCAGCTAGAATATGAAACTACTCCCCATTGCCAAGAGAGCTGATGTTCTTTACTTTCCAAATTTGTCTTGGCTGAGCTGACAGCTACACACTTGTTTATTTTTTCTGTGTCGTGTTTTATGGTGTTTGTACTAGGAGGGAGAGCAACAATAATGAATTCCACTCTGTTACTTTTATCAAAAAGCAGATCACCCTTGTGTGTGCCATGGGCTTTTGAATTTATTGATATGATTCTATTCCAATATAGTTTGGTGCAACATTTTCTAAAATAAGTACTGATAGTAATAGAGAGTAATAATAGACTAACATCATTCTCCAGACGCTTTTTCAGGGGAAGGCTTTGACTTAAATGTTTTTAAAGCTTTTAAGAAGAAATATTTGAGAAATTTTTGTTACTTTACTCCAGAAATTATTCTAATACTTCTTGAAAACTTGGTTTAGGCTGTGTCTACAGGAAGTCAAAGTCCCCAATTGTTTTGTTTTAGGGACAGTTTGATTTAAAATTGTAGAGCAAGAACAATCAGGTGGTAGTCCAGATTTTCAGTTTCTCCCAGCTGATAATTTGGGCAAGGCTGGTGCAGAGATCTTTTCTCAGAATACAGTCAAGTGCTTGCAGAGTATACTCATATGCAGCGGCATTGTTTAAACACCATGCAACATGAGGACTAAAATGCAGCTGAAATGCTTTGAGAGTAGAGTAGCCTTTAATTTAGTGCAGGTACATCAACAAGACGGACTAATAATAGGACTAATAATTCCCTCTGAAATTCTTTATTCTGTAGGAAGATTTGCAGGTATTCCTATAATACCTATTGTCTGATATATTGAAATCATTCTGTCTTTTTAGATGTTTGTTTTAATGTGAGAACAACTTTGCTTGGCTTTTGTTATGTTACATTGGCTCTTGGTTACCTTTGCTGTCAGAGGAGTTTCTAAAAGCTGAATAATTTAGTAACTGAGAAGGTCACTGGTGGGGACCAATGGGAGCCTTTGGGATGACTTCTTTTCTGCCTTGACAAATACTTCGATGGAATTTTCTTGTGGTTTTGGTGATAGCAGTATAGTATTTATCCATTTAAGGGTCTTGCATTACTTTCATTTCATTATTTTTTTTAAGCAGTGAATACATTTATTAAAACTCACTGCAACTCCAGGAAGGCAGCCCGAGGCTTGAGGAATGTAACAGCCAGAAACTGTGTCCAGGCTCTCCTGTAAGACTGACCTAGCAGACACCTCAATGCTATTGACACTGGCAGAATCACACTGCTTGGATACTGTTGGTTCATTTTTGAAGCAATACATTTAAAAATATTTTTAAAGGTGTATTTTGGATAGATACCAATAGTGAATAAACCTACAAATAGAAGTGAGATGATAAGATGCATAGGACAAGTTTTCAGGAAGAATTTTAGAAATGTCAGCATAATGAAAAGGCATTTGAATTTGGTCAGTGAAAAAAATCAGTGGGATTGGTGAAAATAAACTGCTAAGTCCCTTGTTTGTTATCATGAGGTCAGAATGCTAGGTTTGATATGAATTTTTTCCTTCCTTTGTTTTACAGGAATATAGGTGTGGCATCCGTGGTGCTTGCTACTATTTCTTTCCTGACTCTATAACTTTCAAAAGTTTTTAATGAACATAAAGGACATAAGGAATTACGTTTTAACACTCTTTACATTTTGTTAAATTTTAAATTTTTTGTTTTGCTCCAAATGTTTAAACAATATCATAGTACAAGAAAATTATGTTGAGTCTATACATAGCTTTCTTATTAGTGAAATGAATAATTTCACATTTTGTCTCATTAAAATTAGTTTTCCTTCTTATGATAGATAGCTCTTAGGTGCTTATTTTGGAATACTAAATATTTATAAATCAAAATTCTCTATTTAGAAATCTAATTTTAACATTTTCCATTGATAAATGCAAAAACTCATATATGGAGAAGAGGGAATTTGGTCAGCTTTAAAGATTTCTAACTTATGTAGTTTCCTTAAAAAAAAAGTTTAAGTTTTATGTAAGACTTGGAGGGTGCATTGGTGTTGAGGGCTTGGGGAAGGAGTGATATTTTTTCATATAAATAGAGAAGAAAACCCATGAGAAAAAGTTCATTTTATTTCTTTAATGCCCCTGGTCTGTAATATATAAATTGTTTTTATTTTTCCCCATACATGAAATAAACAAATTAAGCAGGACAAGAAATAAACACGGACTTGATTTTTTTTTTAAACTTTATATAAAACAATTTGCTTTAATTAAAAATTATCCCTTCCTGGTTATTTATGGTTCTACAGCCTATTTTATAGGAATCAGTAGCTTCAGCCCTTAAAAGCTCTCCTGCAAGACATTTGCTACATGCAAGAGAATTTATGTGCTGAGAATAGTTTCATTCTTCAGTTAGGCCTTAGGTTTGACCCTATAAAATTTTTTACTCAGGAAGGTACAGAAATTTCTTTGCTTTAAATACTTCAGGAAAAACATAACCATTTTACTAAATAAACTTGGCCATTTGATAGCGTAAATTAGGGCGGTGATAAAATGTGGAAATTGTTCAAAGGCATCTTGTATAAATTATCGCCTTGGCTACACTCCTGCAGGAGGTGCCTTTTATCTTTTCTTTAACTAGATGGGAAAAGTCTCCATTACTGGAGAAAATGAAGGCCTTTTTTAAAAAGTCCAGATTCAGCTAATAAATATTTTATAACTGTTTCCTGCAAAATATCTGAAATCCTTTCTGGAACTTGCAGGGTGAAACAGCAGCCTCAAGAAAAATATCAATAGCTTCAAGTCAGATCACTTGTAGATATGTCATTTTCAGAGCATCTCTTTAAAGCTTAGGGTTATATGTTTGCGATGATCAATAATGTCTCCCCAAGAACTGGGTCTATGGATTTGTATCTGAAGTCTAATAAAGTTTACACTGCTAAAACAAATGATGCAGTAATGCTCCTCTCCATAGTTAATAAATGTTTAAGTCCAGTGGATGCTTATTAATTACCTCTTAGCAAACTCCCCTCGAAACCACTCCATGGCCACTTTGGTATCCTTAATATTCAAATCTATGACTATTAAAACTCATCTATGTGGTAATAAAAAAGCAGTTTTATACAAAACTGCATTCTGACATTCTTTAGCATTTAAAAAAGCTTGTTTCTAGAAAGTCATAAAACCTTGTACAAATGAAATATAGAGTAAGCAGATAAAGAGTACCCAGCATTCATTAGTTGAGTATTAAATGCAACCTGCAGGCAACATGGGGTTTTGGGACTGACCAAGCTGCCAAACTGCCCCCAAATCAATACTTTAATGAACATAAAATATTACTGAGTAGATCTTGCTTGCATCTGGCTCATAGTCAGCCACAGATATGATGTCTGGTTTTGGAAAAATCACTTGGGAGCACACAACTTTAGAGCTAGGAAAGGATGCAGAGCTTTCATAGTCTGATCCTCACTTTGTGGGAAACTGAAGTCCAGGGAGGTTAAAACATTTACTTAGGGTCACACAGTGAATTTTAATGAGTTGGAACCATAGCCCAGTTCTCCTGACCCCCAATCCAGTGTTCTTACCGTGAAATAGTCCTCTCTCTGTAGAACACTGATTACATCCAAAGCTAGATTCTGCCCTTCACACTCAGTGCAGCCCAGGTGGAAGGCATGTGCAGGTCCACTCTGCCCTGCTCTCCCCTTTGGCAGCCCTGTACTAGCACCTGTGTGGGGCTGGTGATGGCTTTTGGAAGTACTCCCACAGGAGCACCCCCTGAACTTGTGACTTGAGAGATGAGTCAGGTTCATGTCTGGACGCATGTGAGGATGGTTCATGCACACAAGCCTGTGCATGCACTCAGTACCACCCATCCACACACATACACTGCTGTCTCCTTCTATCACTAAGATGGGGTACTGATGCTCCATGGAGTCATGATAGACATCAACAAATCAATGGAGTCTATAGTCTGAACACTAAGAAGTAAATTCAGTGTGTAAAACCTTAGAACAGTAGGGCAAGTTGTGTAAGATGGTGTTATCTGCACATATCACTTACTAGGAGTGTTTAGAGAGTTTTCACCATGTTGTGTAGGTGGTATGACTCTGGGGCCAGTGGGTTCCTCTAGTCTTAGTTCATAGTTCTTGATTTGGGGATGCAAGGTATCCAGAGGAGGTAGCAAGTCGAGTGCAAGTGATTAAAGACCCACTCTTTAACATTTGCATTAAATACAGATTATCTGTGTTAAATAAAACCATATCTAACAATCACAAGAGAAGTCTGAATATTGTTTGATACTCAGAAGGCAGGCATTTCCTACAATGGAGCTCTATGTTTCAGGAAAAGCACAGTGTTACTAAGATTAACAAATTGCTTAGGGCTTTGGTAGTTGAGGGAAGACTGGTGAGGTCTGAAGAACAGGCTAGTTGAGTGAAGCGCCTCATTTCCAGAATCTAGAGGACTTAGTTATCTGATTCAAGGAGAGGAGGACTCTGAATCACTTACAGTAGGAGATACATTTATGTATGTATTTAGATATATAATATATATATTGTTTTCAAATATATATATATTTGACATATGTGTCATGCAAATAGTTTACAACCAACTTATCTTGTCTCTTTAAGTATCCGTTCACTAAGTGTATGTAGGGGCCTGAAAAGAATGTTTGATGCTAATCCTAGAGCCATATGTGGTACCGGCCTGTGAGATCACCTTTCTGTGTTCCTCCTGCATGTTGGGCTGAGAGGTCAGTGCTGCCTGCCAACCCCCTGGACTCCCTGTGGCTGAAGGGAGAGCCTATGCTGGCTGCACTGGGTGTGATGGAGATTGTGCCCCCCACCCCCCAGAGAGAAGTTGGTTTTCTTTGGATGAGTGCTCTTCTAAAGCTGGCTACCAAGGCACCAAATGATGGGCAGAAATGCCTCTTCAGAAAAAGTGTCTTTACAGGGTCAGGCTTTTGTGTCAAACCCTTCCTCATCAGAGGGAGAAGTAATGTTACAGGGGGAGAGGGTGGATTCCAGATCCCAGAAGAGCCTTGGACTCACATCAGCTAGGATGGACCTCTTCACCTGAGCTCCTTAGCACAGAGAGACAGCTTCTTATTCTCCAAGGTCGGCTTAGTTTTCTGAGAATGTTAACAGCATATCTTGGGTGGTTTCCATCGTCCTGTGCTCCTGGTGACAGAACGGTAGCCCATCTCTGAAGCATTTCTTTCTGCCTGTGCCAAGCTCCTGCCCTACCAATATGGGGGGACACTATCAACACCAGCGATGTGTTCTGAGCTGCTTATTACTGGCGAAAGCTCCAACTGTTCCTAACGAGGCTTCTTTTGTTCACCTCCATCCCAATCCTTCCGTTTAGAATGGGTTTGGAAGCCCTTGTGGAATCATATGCATTCTGGAGACCTTCACTACGGACTCTCACCTTTGAAGATATCCCTGGAATTCCCAAGCAAGGTAAAACACAAAGTCTCCTGGGTCATAGATACAGCCGGTTCTTGACTGGAAGCTCGGGCACTGAAAAATAACACCTGTCGTCATTGGCATCCACAATGGTGACCTCATCACCAACATCCTCTTGTTACAGAATCTACCTCTTTTCTGTGAGGAATGGGGATGGGAACCAGAAAAATGGCTCTTGTGGTCATAGGTTAAGTCTTGCATGTTGTAGGCTGTTTATGTATTTCACGACCTTTACTTCACCCTCAAATCTCTTGTTAAAATTAGAGCTGGACTGTGGGCCTTTGTGGCAGGCCCACCTCACAGGGAATTGCCAGTGCCGGTCCCAGTTCACCCTTCCTTGCCAGCTTCTTTCTGCACTTCCTTCAGCACAATGGCCTCTAGGCAGGGTTCACCTGTTGGATTTATGCTGAGGAGGTCAGGCACCCCGGGGCTCACCTCTGAGTGTTTCCCCCAACCTCAGGCTAGTGTTTCCTTAGAGGGAGCTGCTTGCAACGGGATGATGTTTCCTCCTCTGCTCGGTAGGTAGGACTCTTGGCCCGCTCCTGCACTCAGCCTTTTTATGCCTGATCCTGCCCAGCACCCCAGTGACAATTAACATGCTGGGTTTTAGATAATTATCATTGACTGGATGGGTCTTTTAGATTATTTTGAGAAGCTATATAAAACACTGTTGCTGGAGCAATGAAGGCTTTACAACCTGTCCAGCTTGTTGGAATTCTCCTCTCCCCCTAAGTTCTGTCAAGTTTGCAAACATCAATCTGCCAGTGAATCCAGAGAGGGGGAGACGGCCACCACCGCCGTTATTGATTGGACACAAGGTCAACCACCCTCTCCGTTTCACAGGACTGTTTATTTGGTGGGCCTCTGCTCTTGTGTTAGCATGTGATTCACCAACCTGTGTTCTGGTTGGAAATGAGATTTTTGAAGTTCTAGACTATTGCCTTCTTGTAATAGCCCCACGTGATAACAGCAGTGGATGCACAGAAGCTTTCAGTTTGAAGCTGCAGATATGTTTGAGGCAGGGTGTGTCTTTGACCAATTTGGCTCTTTCCTTGGAATTCTTTTCCATTTTCATGCAAGAAAACATATTGATCCAGAGCAAGGTCTGCTGAAAGGGTAAAATATGGAAAGAAGAGAGGTGATGGCTATACTTTAGGAACAAGATACAGAGTAAGATGAAAGTGGTCAAGTTGCCAGGAGAGTATCTGTAAATATTTATTATAGAAAATCAGAAAACTTGAGGAAAGCTAACGGAGGGAGAAAATGTGAAAATTCTATGTGGCAGTGTCCTGATCTCTTCTGCAATAAAAAAAGAAAATTATTGCCTGGGGAGATCATATGCCTTAGAAATATTGAGAGGATCTGTGTCTAAAATATTTCAGTCTGAATTCAGTTAAATTCTAATTCCTTGAGAGCCAAGACCATTTTGTTTTCATCGTTCCATGTAGGCTTCCTTGTGACAAGCTGTGTCTAGCTCATGTTCACAAAATTGAAAGGAAAACATGGCCGTGGAGTCGTTGCTGTTTACATTTCAACTTCTTTTGTAGGAAATACAAGTTCTTCCACATTGCTCCAAGGCTCTGGGAATGGCGTTCCTGCCACCCACCCTCATCTTTTGTCTGGATCCCCTTGCTCCTCTCCTGCCTTCCACCTGGGGCCCAACACCAGCCAGCTGTGTAGCCTGGCCCCGGCTGACTACTCCACCTGTGCCCGCTCTGGCCTCACCCTCAACCGCTACAGCACATCCTTGGCCGAGACCTACAACAGGCTCACCAACCAGCCCGGCGAGACCTTCGCCGCGCCCAGGACTCCTTCCTATGTGGGCGTGAGCAGCAGTACCTCGGTGAACATGTCCATGGGCGGCACGGATGGGGACACTTTCAGCTGCCCACAGACCAGCCTGTCCATGCAGATTTCGGGGATGTCCCCCCAGCTTCAGTACATCATGCCTTCACCCTCCAGCAATGCCTTTGCTGCTAACCAAACCCATCAGGGTTCCTATAACACGTTCAGGTTACACAGCCCCTGTGCCTTGTATGGATATAATTTCTCCACATCCCCCAAACTGGCTGCCAGTCCTGAGAAAATTGTTTCTTCCCAAGGAAGTTTCTTGGGGTCCTCACCGAGTGGGACCATGACCGATCGGCAGATGTTGCCCCCTGTGGAAGGAGTGCACCTGCTTAGCAGTGGGGGTCAGCAGAGTTTCTTTGACTCTAGGACCCTAGGAAGCTTACCTCTGTCATCATCTCAAGTGTCTGCACATATGGTCTGATGAATCCTTGAAGTGAAACCATACTCAGATTGGTCTAATGTATTTTCTTTCTTCATTTTCTTTTTCTTTTTTTCTGAAAGCAATATGAAAAGAAACTATCAGTAGCTTGTAAGATTTACATATAATAGGAAATGAAGGCTCCCTGAGTGTTTTGACTTCCTCATGGTGAGATTGTAATTATCTATGGTATATATGTAAACTGTACATAGCATGTGGAGTTTTGCAGCCTATAAAACCACATCCTCCCTCTCCCCCCGCCCCATTTCATCTAGTTGCACAGAGTGTTGGCATAAGTAGGATGTTTAACCAAAATTCTCAGACTCTTTTAAAAACCAAACAGCAAACTTAAAACTTGGCAGTGATACTAACCAGACCAAGACTTATAACTTAATTTATCAGAAAAATGCTCTACACAGTTTCATACTTGAGTGTTGATAACTAACAGTAATCAGCACACAGAGTCTTGTGATTTCTGTTATTCTTGGGCACAATGTGAGAACCTAAAATGCAAAAGCCAGCTGAGGTCTAAGTATTAGTTCTGAGGTATTTGTAATCATGAAGGATTAGCTTTTGTGTTCCTGCTTGCTCTTGTTTGTCACAGGTATTAGATGATCTTGGTTCTGTAAAAATCCATGACCTGTAATAATTGTTTACTTAGGTAAGGTGGAAGAGAGGCTTATACTTTCTTTTCACTTTCCATTGGGTATGTGAGAGGTATCTATTCATCTGCAGAGAATAAATTTCCAGTATTTTGGATCTTTTGCTCATTTTATTTAGTCAAAGTAGACCATTAAAGAATGTTCTAGAAACATTTTTAAATTCCAGTTTTCACTGGGGAAGGACTATATGATATGAGTGGAATGCCAAAAAGAAAATAAACCCACCTCAAATTCTTTGATTCTAATGAGAAATGTCTATCTTTTTAAATCAAGAGGAATAATATTGTCAGCTATCCCTTAGGTTTTTATAGTGTGGTTTTTCATTGAGGATATTTTTTCCGTTTTGTTTTGAGATTCCTGACCCGTGGTCTATAAGGAAGGAAAAAGGCATTTGTGCTACTTATTTATGTCTCATAACTCCTACAAATTGAAACCTCCCCCCTCCTTAACCTTGTTTCTCTGTCTGGGTCTTTCCCGAAACAAATAGATTCTAGGCCTTTATGGTATTAAATAACACTGTAAGGAATTTCAGGGGGTTATCTCCAGCAATCTGTCTTTTGGGGGTTGTAGTGCAAAGGCCAAAGCCCATTACCATAAAGACCCTCTTAGAGGATGAAGGAGGAAGATACTAATTATGAGAAAGGATCTATAAAACTTTTAACCTCAACAGCATTTTCAGCCTCAAAACTGGAAAAATGAAAACAGGATTAGTTTTTGAAAAATCCCTAAAATAATGTATACATGGTTTAAGATTTCAAAACAAGTAACTTTGATAGCACATTAGGAGATGAATAGGAAAGGCTAAGAATGCATGATGAGGAGAATTACCATATGTCTGTTGAGAAATTAAAATAATATGTTTGTTCATTGACTCATTACCTTTCATATATTTGTCAGTCTAAAGCAGATTTCCTTTCCAAGCTAAGTGAGATTTCCTTTCAGTGCTAAACAGAGTTGCTTTAACTCTTCCCTAGTTTAGATGGGGAAAGGGTGTAGCTCCTGACTTGCTTCTTTACTTTAAAACAGCACGGCTGTTAGATATTTAAGCAGATAACTGTTTGAAAAGTATTTGTATAGGATGTGACTCTGTTTATGGATGTTGATAAATTTCCTCATGGATTTTGTAACAGTTCCTCAAATCAGTATTGGTTTTTACACTGAAGTTTAGCATGAAGGGACACAAAATACTTCCAGTAGGTAGATCTGTAGAAGATACCTGTGTATGGTATTAATAGCTGGACAGAGATTTGGCAAAAGTCCTCATGAGTACATTCCAGCCTTAGTGCTTAGTACAATTCAAGAACAAGAAAGTTGTCTATCTTGAGAAAACATGGAAAGTAATGATCTATACTCATATGTATTAATAGGGAGAGCATTTTCCTTTTTGCTGTTGGTGATTTGAAATGATACAACAATATGAGTAGAATTTTTTATTAATTTTTTTGATTTAGCAATATTGTACAAATTGCTGTTTCCTTTAGGTTTTACTGTAAATATTAATCACCATGTCACTTCAAAAATTGGCCTTTTATCATTATATTAAATGACATACATGCATTGATAATTATAATTATATATCTGTATTTTATTAAAAAGTGCTTAAAAAATTATATATTAAAGTGTGTTACTAAACCTTTTTATGACTTTGGAGGGTAATCATTTAAAGTGTCTATAAATGTTGTTCCAAGAATAAGCACACATATGAATGCCCCAAACACAGATTTTGTGGCTTTCGATGACAAGGCATGGAGAAATGGGTCTGGCATTCATTTTTCATGTGTTAAATATAATTTCTTGGGGCCCTGACCATGTCATTGAAGGTGAAGCCCTGACAAATGTTGAACACATGAAAATTCAAATGTAAGAAGAGGGGGCCATGGTGGTATGTTTTGTTTCTGGTCCAGGGGAGAAGGGCAAGGATACAAGAATGAGCTGCTTATACCACTGACCAGTGATGACAGATCACTTCTAGACCCCTTGACTGGAAAACATTCCAAGGGGCATTGTCATGAGGTGAGGTTGCTGCTATCACAGCCAGTCACATTTTGAAAATTAACACTTGCTTCTATACAGGCTCCTTCCCAGAGGTCAACAGCTTTTCACAAGCAGGGCACCCACTTGCTGACCCCTGATTTCTGGAATGTAGGGGGTCAGGAGACTTTCGTGGCCCCTAGAAGAGACTGAAGCACAGTGTTGCTGATATAGCAAAGGGTCACACTCACTCCTCACATCAATTAGTGAAATTTTGAGCAAAAGAAACCTCACCTTTAAAATGTGAATTCCTTTCGAGACATCACTCCCCGGATTTAAACCTATCAGCAACTCACATCTTAGTATGAATTAGATGAACAGAAGCTTTGGAGGTAGCCAGAGGTTTGATTAGAAGAGAAGAGTAATCTTTGGAGTAGGACAATTCTGGGAAGATTTGGATGGGGAGGAGGAGGTGCAAGGAGAAGGATCTCCAAGCAAACCTGGTGTAAAGCCATTAAAAATAATAATTTCATGAGCTTCTTTTAGGAGTCATGGTAGAGTTGGTGGATGCTATGCTGATGCTCTCTCTAATTAGACGGATTTGTAAAGAATCCTTTCAAAGTGCAATCATGCTGGGTTTCCTTATGGGGAATTTATTGACTCATCTACATGGAGGTTTTCTAAAGCCTTCCATTGGAAATTAAATAATGTTATTAAGTTATTACAACTGTGTTTTAATATCCTTGATAATCTTTTAAAATATGTGCTCAGACAAGTTGAGAGAAAGGTTGAATATGTGAACAGTTAAGTAGACATGCATGAAGGCAGCCTTATGGGAACTCATTCAGTGATGGAAATGAACAAATAATATGTATTTAAGTATAGAAATATCTAAGAGATATGTAAACTTAGTATCCATCTACATGCTGATAGACTTTCAAGTAATTCATTTTCTTTTCTTTCTTTCTTTTTTTTTTTTTTTTGAATTTTGGTATGGTGAGAACATCATTTTCTTGGGAATTAGGGAGGTTGGTTTCAAACCATGGGCTTCCCAATCATGATTTTGGACAAAAACTTAACCAGTTTTGGTCTCAGTTTTTTTGTGTGTGAAAGGAGTGTCTGGAATGAGAAATTTTACATTATAAAATTCATATGACATTGTATCAATATCAGCTTAGTAGGAAAATAGCTTTATAAAAATATATCTTTATAAAAATAGGTCTTTTGAGATAGATGATAGATAGATAGATAGATAGATAGATAAACATATATATGTGTATATCTATTTTTACAAAGAACATACCATGACCTTGACGAGGATTATTGATTATTTTAAATTTATTGGATTACTTAGAATTTATCTTTTAAATGGAACTATGCTATATTAGTTATAATATGTAGGACATACTTTAGTAGTTGGGGGAATCTGAACTTAATGTATTTGCTACTTTATAGTGAACAGAAAAAGGTGTTAATAAAATTTCTTTTTCATGATGCTCTTATTGAATGGCATAAAATGATCTCACTTTGGAATAAGCATGACATCTAGTAAAATATCTAGAAGTCATTCCAGGTACATTCAAAATACATTTAAATTGTCATCCAGAAAACACTTGACTTTGTTTTTTTGAAGGGTTTTATTCATGCTGAGACTCAGATAACAATCATATAAAACAGTTGGTTATTCTGGAATTCATTGAATTTATACAAGGCTGGATCTTCATACATATCTTGTGTCCATATTTTAAATTATATTAATCAGGTCACTAGAATAATTTAATAAGGCCAAAACATTTTTCTGAATAACAGCTTTGTTGAGGCATAATTCACAAACCATACAATTCACCTATTTAAAGTGAGAAATTCAGTGTTTTTTTTTGTATATTCAGAGTTGTACAACCATCATCACAATCAATTTTAGAATATTTTCATCACCTTGCAAAAACCTCTGTGCTCATTAACAGTCACCCCACTTTTCCCTCCACCCCTTCTTTACCCCAAAGTCCTTAGGCAACCACTAATCTACTTTCTGTCTATAGATTTGCCTATTTGGGACGTCTCATGTAAATGGAATCATACAATATGTGGTCCTTTGTGATGGGCTTCTTTCACTTACGTTTTCAAAGTACCTTTGTGTTGTAGCATGGATGACTATTTAAAGTTTTTAAATTGCTTAAATCTTTTTAAAAATAAGATTCCACTGTAGGTAATTTCCACTTTTTATTTGTCCATTCATCTGATGGACATTGGGTTGTTTCCATTTTTTTGGTGTTATGAATAATGCTGTTAAAAACATTGGTGTACAAATGTTTATGTGGGCATATGTTTTCCTGTCTCTTGGGTATATGTCTAGGAATGAAATTGCGAGGTCCTGTTGTAATGTTTTCTAAAACTTCCAAACTGTTTTTCAAAGTGGTTGCACCATTCTGCATCCAGACCAGCAGTGTGTGAGGGTTCTGATTTCTCCATATCCTTCCTAATAGTTGTTAGTCTTTTTGATTATAGCCATCCTAATGGGTATGAAGTGGTATCTCATTGTGGTTTTGATTTGCATTTCCTTGATGACTGATGATGTTGAGCATCTTTTCCTGTGCTTTATTGGCCATTTGTATATCTTCTTTAGAGAAATATCTATTCAGATCCTTTGCCCACTTTTAATTGGGTTGTCTTTTAACTATTGAGGTGTAAGAGTTCTTTAAATATTCTAGATTCTAGTGTCATCAGATACATGATTTACAAATATTTTCTCCCATTCCATGGGCTGTCTTTTAGCTTTACTGATGATGTCCTTGGCATTACAAAAGTTTTTAATATTGAAGAGATTCAATTTACCTATTTATTTCTTTTGTTGCTTGTGCTTTTAGAGTGAGGGCCAAGACATTTTAAAACTTTTAAAATTTGCCTTTTCACATTCTTAATAGAAGTAGTAGTAACAGAAGTGCATTTTATTTTAT